GTTGAGATCCAACCTGAAAGATGTGGTGCTCTTCATAATAGACGAAGTGTCCATGGTCTCCAATCTAACATTGATGTACATAAATCTCAGATTGTGTGAAATATTCAACACCTCAGACCAAAGTAACGGCTGGTTTGGTAAAAAACATATACTGCTCTTTGGAGACCTTTTACAACTTCCACCAGTACACGAAGACTCCCCATTCATTGAACTTGACAGTAGCAAACTTAGTTCTTTTGTTGGCTCTCTGTCTTGTGTTAACATCTGGTCTGAACAGTTCTCTTATGATGAACTTACTACAAACATGCGACAAGCTCAAGATTCTAAGTTTGCTGATGTGTTAAGCAAAGTCAGAGTAGGCAATATGACCGTTGAGGACATCCGTCTAATTGAAAGCAAGAAAATACATCTTAATGGAAAAACTGCTTGTGAAAACCTTTCTCTATTAGGAGATTACTTGTCTGCTTTACCCAACAATTCTGTGTGTCTTTGTTCAACTGGTTACCAATGCTCCATAATAAATGATGAAATGGTCAATAGAATAAGTGGTCCTGTCGTTAACTTGGTTGCAAAAGACTCAGTTGACTGTCTACCTCGTCAACAAAACAAAGTTAAAAAGATACTGTCCTCTTACAACTCTGACTGCAGCAGAACGGCTGGTATGGAGAAAATTATTCCTATTAAGGTTGGTGCTAAAGTTATGTTGCTTAGAAACATTGACGTCACTGTGGGGCTAGTTAACTCCGCCATTGGAACAGTAACGGGGTTGAGGTTTAATACAGACAATTCTGATGACGTAGACTCAGTGACAATTAACTTTGATTGTGGCATTACCCATCACCTACAGCGAGTAAACGTCAAGTTTCAAGTTATGGATAACGCATTTGTGTATCGAGAGCAATTCCCGATATCGATGTCCTACGCGGTTACAATTCACAAATGCCAGGGCCTCAGCTTAAATAGCGTAATAATTGATATTGGGGAGTCCATATTTACATGTGGCCAATCATATGTTGCCTTGTCACGAGTGACTTCATTAGAAGGGCTTCATCTTATTAACTTTAACCCAAGAGATGTGAAGCCTCAGAAATCCGCCATTCTCGAATACAACAGACTAAGGCAGAAGTACAGGTCTGACCTTCCACTTTACAACACAAGTTGTGACTCCTCTTCGGCTCCTTATGTGAGAGACAGGAAGTGGTGCCAGACCAAAAATGTCAAAAAAGTGCAGGATGAGAGTACAAAACCGGTACCCTCTGCAAAGACTACCGGAAGATCGAGAGTTCAGTCAACTTTAGCATTAAGAGGGTTTGAGAACAATGATCGTGTGTCTTGTTATGCGAATGTTGCAGTTCAGATACTGTATTCTGTTCCGTACATCAGAGAGATAATAAAGAACTCTGAACTAATTTGTCCTGAGTTAAAACAACATCTTCATGATTACGAAGTTTCTCCCTCGGAGGTTGTTTTAGATACAGTGGTTATAAGAAATCTCCCTAACAACAATACATATACCCTGACAGAGCAGCAAGACTGTGCTTTGTTCTTGCTGGACTTATTGGAGACAAACAAGGGCATTATAGAAGCCATCTCATACAGCACGGTGAAAACCACAAAATGCCAGCACTGTCATTACACATTCACAGGGCAAGAAGAGACAGACAATATAATCAGAATCCCCGTGGTGGCTGGTAAGGTAACGCTAAAAAATCTTTTAAGCCTTACGATAAACAACTGGGAGCCCTTGTTAGATTATGTGTGCAGTAATGATGAATGCGGCCAACGAGGATCGAGCCTGGGCAAGGTACACGTTACAAAGTCAAACCGCTGTGTTATCTTACAATTTTTAATCTTTGACAACAACCTACAAAAGATAACCGCAACAAACATAGTAGGAGTCCCAAGTGCTCAAGTGACTATAGGTAATAAAACATATAGACCTACAGCAGCAATTTTTCATCACGGAGATGCAATATCACGAGGGCATTACACTTGTACCATAAAGACATCTTCAGGTTGGACAACAGCCAATGATGAACAAATATCAAATCAAAGATGGCCCATTGGTTCAAAGAATTTGTACATGCTGTTATTAACAGAACAGTAGAAGCAGCAGTTGTTACTTTGTTACAACAGTAAAAGATATCGAACATATTCTACGAGTCGTGGGTTGATGACCACTACCTAACTAGACCAGACGAACTAGAAGATATGAACTTATACGACTTTGTGAGATGGTACGATATAGCTGCTCAACCACCTAAAGGCGACCGTGAAGTGCATAAGTTGAATTCAGGCAAATTCCTCACTAAAAGAGTCAGACCATGCTTACTGAATCACTATAAGTACAGCCCCACTCAGGATCCTGAAAAATACTACCATGCATTACTTCTTATGTTTCTTTGTTGGAGATCTACTGATGAGCTGAAAGAGTCTCATGAAACATACACAGATGCTTTTATGGCCAAGCGGACACTTCTCACTCAAGCCTTCAACTATGACAAACGTTTAAAAGACATTATTGCGGCATCGGAGAATGCAAGAGACAAAATTCAAAACCGAGTTGAAGAGATCAATGCAGAAGAAGGAGAGGTTGCTGATCCATCCAATATAGCCTTTCAGCCCTTTAATGAACCTGTCCCCGCATCCCAGCCTGTCAGGGACAGCAATTGGTCGCCGAATGACGAGCCGTTTGAGAAAAAATACCAAAAACTCAATGACGACCAAAAGAGAGTGTTTGATTATGTCAAACGAGTTGTTGCAAACTCTGATGGGACAGATAAATTTCTCAGACATTTTGTAAGTGGTGTGGGAGGTACTGGTAAGAGTTTTCTCATAAAAACTATCAGCTCTTGGACTAAAAAATGTCTTCAAGCCTCTACATCAATATCAGCTCCCACAGGACTAAGTGCTTACAACATCAATGGTTCTACGATCTACAAAGTGTTTCAGCTGCCAGTTGAGCATGGAAAAACTCCAAAGTACAAAGCTCTTACTGATGATGTTTTAAAAATGTTGAGATCCAACCTGAAAGATGTGGTGCTCTTCATAATAGACGAAGTGTCCATGGTCTCCAATCTAACATTGATGTACATAAATCTCAGATTGTGTGAAATATTCAACACCTCAGACCAAAGTAACGGCTGGTTTGGTAAAAAACATATACTGCTCTTTGGAGACCTTTTACAACTTCCACCAGTACACGAAGACTCCCCTTCATTCATTTCTCGACATTCATTGAACTTGACAGTAGCAAACTTAGTTCTTTTGTTGGCTCTCTGTCTTGTGTTAACATCTGGTCTGAACAGTTCTCTTATGATGAACTTACTACAAACATGCGACAAGCTCAAGATTCTAAGTTTGCTGATGTGTTAAGCAAAGTCAGAGTAGGCAATATGACCGTTGAGGACATCCGTCTAATTGAAAGCAAGAAAATACATCTTAATGGAAAAACTGCTTGTGAAAACCTTTCTCTATTAGGAGATTACTTGTCTGCTTTACCCAACAATTCTGTGTGTCTTTGTTCAACTGGTTACCAATGCTCCATAATAAATGATGAAATGGTCAATAGAATAAGTGGTCCTGTTGCAACATTTGCAACAGTCCTTGTTTGTAAGTGGTCCTTGTTTGCAACTTGGTTGCAAAAGACTCAGTTGACTGTCTACCTCGTCAACAAAACAAAGTTAAAAAGATACTGTCCTCTTACAACTCTGACTGCAGCAGAACGGCTGGTATGGAGAAAATTATTCCTATTAAGGTTGGTGCTAAAGTTATGTTGCTTAGAAACATTGACGTCACTGTGGGGCTAGTTAACTCCGCCATTGGAACAGTAACGGGGTTGAGGTTTAATACAGACAATTCTGATGACGTAGACTCAGTGACAATTAACTTTGATTGTGGCATTACCCATCACCTACAGCGAGTAAACGTCAAGTTTCAAGTTATGGATAACGCATTTGTGTATCGAGAGCAATTCCCGATATCGATGTCCTACGCGGTTACAATTCACAAATGCCAGGGCCTCAGCTTAAATAGCGTAATAATTGATATTGGGGAGTCCATATTTACATGTGGCCAATCATATGTTGCCTTGTCACGAGTGACTTCATTAGAAGGGCTTCATCTTATTAACTTTAACCCAAGAGATGTGAAGCCTCAGAAATCCGCCATTCTCGAATACAACAGACTAAGGCAGAAGTACAGGTCTGACCTTCCACTTTACAACACAAGTTGTGACTCCTCTTCGGCTCCTTATGTGAGAGACAGGAAGTGGTGCCAGACCAAAAATGTCAAAAAAGTGCAGGATGAGAGTACAAAACCGGTACCCTCTGCAAAGACTACCGGAAGATCGAGAGTTCAGTCAACTTTAGCATTAAAATTTATTTTTTTTTTTCAGAGAAAAGAGTATTTTTATTTGAACGGTTAATTTTCTACAAAAATAAATAAAATCTAACAAAAAACCACTAAGTGGTAACACTTTCCCCGCCAAGTCAGCAATCCAAAAAAGATAATAAATCATTACTTTTTCCGCCAAGAAAAACAATGTAATGTATGTAAGTTTGGCAACTTGGCGGCAGACTTTTGCTTGGTTTTTTTTCATTTAAGTTACGTTCGTGGATAATTTCACAAATCAACTTCTCTAATTAATTAGTCCAACTAAGTATAATAATTTCGAGGTAATCAGTAAATATAAAACCATCACTATTATGATTTTATGAAATGTGGCACAAATAAGGTCAAGTTTTGTAAAATAAGCTCTCACCTAGCAATGTACTAATGGGAGAGATACTTGCTCAATGAAACTAGTTTTATGGTATTTTTAAAGTGATCGAGCAAAAGTCTGCCGGCAAGTTGCCAAACTTACATACATTACATTGTTTTTCTTGGCGGAAAAAGTAATGATTTATTATCTTTTTTGGATTGCTGACTTGGCGGGGAAAGTGTTACCACTTAGTGGTTTTTTGTTAGATCTAGTTTATTGTTACTTAATTGTTTTGCAGGTTGGACGCCCTGAGGATGATATTTGTAATCCTGGGAGGTTGCATGGCTGCCCTGGGTCTGATGATACTGTTCGTTGGGTTCCTCGCCACGGGCGCTACCAGGGTACGAGTCTACCGCGCCTGGACTGCCAGAGTTAGCGGTAGAATATCTTGCGCTGTGGTAGGTTTTAGATATTGTATTTATTTAGTCACTGGTTTCCGGTTTTAATTCTGTATGGTAATCTAGCAATATTGCGATTGTTGAAGACGACTGCAAAGGTTGGAGACTGAAAGTTTATGACAGATGACCACAGTGTTGCCATCGACTTTCAAATTGAAGCTAGGTCTTAACAAAGCATTTTAATTTTTGTTACCTCAAAATTACTTTTCTAATATTCATGTTTCTGTTTTTTTCTAAGTAGTTTAACATTGTAGTTATTGACCAACGCATTATATCTAGTTGTATCTGTTGTTAGATATATTTTGAGTTTATTACGTTTTATTTCTTTAAATTGATCCAATCATACACAACATGAGACTCTTTAGTACAATGTTTGAATATCTGAACAGGGCCCAGTAGTAAATTGTTAGGATATACTCTCCTCTGTATCATATTCTTTGAGACACCCATGATAACTGACCTAAGACTATTCAAGATTGTGTTTTTCAGTTCCTGGGGTTGAGCTATGTACTGCAACTGGTGTGGATCTTAATCTTCTGTTTCCTGCTCATTCTAACAACCATGTTCACAATGTTCTTTGGCCTTTGTACATCACATCGAGTGAGGGAGGAACATCAGTGTATAGACTTCACACAGTTTGGTAAGTGTACTTTAAGGCTAAACATCCCTGAAAAAGTTGTGTTTCTGGCCCGATAGATAGCAGCACCTCTGCGGCAAATTTGTACCACTTATAATTTCCGTATTTATTATCAGATTTTTGTTTTGTAAACGGTTTTGTAAATTATATGAATAAGAAATTCACGCTGTTTTGCTAATGTTTTTTAAAATTTATTTACAAAAAAGTTTTATAAAGAATTTTTGTTGTTGTAATAATTTTTTTAATCGCAGGTAGTCATTTTTTAAAGAGAAATTTTAAAAGAATTTTGCCGTTTTCAGGTATTAATTCGGCCAAATGGTTGTATCGGAATCGTTTTTTAAAGAAATTATCATTATTTCTCTCGCGCTCCGGTCCCCTCCCCCCTACCCCCCGACGCATAGCGCAGCTCCAGTGCCCAGCCGCTCTGCCCGGCCTTGCAACGCGACTGTAGCTTCGTCATCTCATACACACCTCGCATTCATACTCTGACCGGACACACTTACTAGACTGGACTCCTGATTTTAACAGATACTAGATTATGATTTAAAAACAAGTATTTTCTGTAAGTCGGAAAGAGACATCTATTCAAATAAAATTGAAGTTTTATCTGTACATTGCTTAGAATCATGGAGTTTTTGGTTATTTTTACGTTTCATAGCCTAAGAAAGCCTATGAATAAAGCCTATCAGTAATATATAAAAATTGAATACTTGTGTCAGGCAATTAATATTACAGTAATCATAAATGATATTTCTTTAACTGAGAATGCTCATTCCGATGACTAAAATAGCGAGCTGTGTTAGCGCTAAAACAGCATTGCGAGAGTTGGCGCAAAACACTCTCGCACTCTAATTTTTACGTTTTCTTTCTGGACTCCAAAATAATAGCTTATGCTATGAAAATGATAAAACATTAGTGAAATATTTTTTGAGCAAACCATCATGAATTTTTAAAACTTTACGTTGTTAACATATCAATGTTTTGTGGACTGTGCAATTATTTACTTACTAGCTGTTTGCCCGTTCTACGTAGGGCCTACGGGAATCTTGTAGTAAGTTGAAACCTTATATTCTTAACAGGAGTTGGTTTGCATATTTAGTGTACATTTTGCATTAAAAGAAGGCCTGTAATTGAAAGTTACTTTTCACACAGGTTAAAAGTAGTTAACATACTACCTCAACCTCACTATTGCATACTTTATTCGGGTTGAAATTTTCATTAACAAAGGTGCTCTTGTCTTTTCCACGAAACAATGAGAAATAAGGACATTAATGCGTTACCAACAGACTTACAAACAAAAATACAGAATTGAATTAGGGGATTTGCTACGCTTTAACCAAAGCAAATTACAAACAAAGTAATTATTTGAAAGTTTTGATAGTGTCATCAAATTTTATCATAATCGTTTTTAGGCCTAATCAAACTGTAAAATTGGTGTAAATCCGTTGGCAAATATATAAATAAGTAAATAAATACACAGTCCACAAAACATTTACACGTTAACAACGCCAAGCTTTAAAAATTCATGATGGTATGCAAAAGAATTTTCACTAATGGTTTTTCATTTTCATAGCATAAACTAACATTATGGAGTCCAGACAGAAAACGCAAAAATTGTACAGTTAGACATCAATTAAATTTAATAAGAAATAAGGTGCAGCACTAACGATAACTATAGATGTAAATAGTAATGTGTTTGTACGTAAAACTGTTTCTTACTACTACCAATGGTTCTAAGGAAAAGTAGCAGTACCAAAAACCAACGTTTACATTTAAGAAAAGAACTATAGTAGGCCTACTTACGACCAATTGAAACTGTCCTTCTAATTAAACTGTATTATAGGTGTTAATCCGTTGGCAAATATAAAAATAAATAAATACACAGGCCACAAATTATGTAACATGTAACGTTAATAACGTAAAGCTTTAAAAACTCACTATATGGTTTTCTCAAAAAAACTTTCACTTGATGTTGTGCAGTTCAGAAGTTATTAATCTCCCTTGGTTTTAATTTTTTTAAGTTTTCGAAAATCAAAGTTATTTTCTATTAAAAGTATTATTTGTAAGCAACTTTTAATGTTAACATATTGTTTATTATCGTATGTTAACATATACAAAGGTTTCTTAAGATTACGTAATCTCTAAACGATAATCGGTACATATATCTAGCAAACATTCGGAGGAAATGTGACAAAAAACTCACAATTCAGGGGTTTTGGACGTTAGTAATTTTGTCAATGAGTGGAAACCTGTTTTGTAAGCTATTGGTGACGATGATAAATAAATGTAAGTTTCCCAGCACTAATATACAGCACTGTTTCACAGTATTTTCCCCGGTTATCAAAACTCAAGAACAATCGTTGCACTTGCGATTAATTAAACCGGTTAAGTAAGGCACAACCAAGGCCGCACAACGTTTTTAATCTAACTTGGTTTGGATGTGCTAACAAAACTTGATCGGAAATGGTTGCGGTATTTGTAAACAACTTTTAATGTAAACATATCAGTGACAGCTAGAAGTGAGAACTAATCCAAACAGCTGATCGTTATTTCATAAGATGTAATAGTAAACATTGGGAGAAAATTTGACAAAATTTGAACCAAATTGGGTTTTTGATGGTTCGTTATTTTGTTTTCAAAGAAGCGAGGCCATGTTTTTATAGCCAAAGACACTCTCATCAATCCAGTAAATACGGAAAAATTATTAGAACCTTGATCGGAACTTTAGTTTTCTAGGAGTAGGCCGCACAAAATGACATTTTGGCACAGAATAGACAAACAGACAGACAGAAATTGAGATAAGACTCGTTTCGGCTTTCTTATGTTATGAAACGTAAAAATAACCAAAACCTGCATGATTCTAAGCAATGTACAGACAAAACTGTAATTTTATTTATATAGATTTATATATTTGCCAACGGATTTACACCAATTTTACAGTTTGATTAGGCCTAAATACGATTATCATAAAATAAAAAATTAGATGACACTTTAAAAAAATGATCAAAACTTTTAAATAATTATTTTGTTTGCAATTTGTTTTGGTTAAAGCGTAGCAAAACCCCTAATTCAATTCTGTATTTGTTCGCGTATGGATGCGCGGGAAACCGTCATCCACCGGTGTACAAGCAACACCCCAGCCGTCTCGTGGGGGGAAGGGGTAGCAAATGTGAGTGTGACCTTGGAATGAGTCACAGCGGCCCTGTCCTGCACCTGCTTCATGTCTCTCTCGCAGTTGTTATAATTACTGTAAATGTTTAAACAACGATACCGACTGAACCAGCCAAGCGATTTTAAAAATTTAAAAAGTAAAATTAATTAAAAATTATGGTCTTTAAAATGACTACCTGCAATTTTCATTTTTTATTTTGTATTCAGTCTTATATTGTACACAATTATTTTACTATAATTTTTTTAACGAGCAACTTAGTTCAAATTTATCTTCAATGGCGTGAATTGTTATCTTATTCCGTTCACAAATCAGTTTTCAAAATGAAAATCGGATGAAAATTCCACCAATAAACACCAACACAAAATGACTCCATTTTGGTGCTGCGACGTGGTGGCAGAATTTGGAACTAAACCTGGGATGTTTAGCCTTAACTAGTGATGTAGTGGGCGGGAACACATTGGAACGGCGTTACCTGATTTTAGTGTTCAGTAAAAACAATTCTCATTAGAGGGTCATTTATTAAGTAAGGGTCGTTTTTGCATAATTAGCTCCATGGTTCGCGTATATCCCAAAATGAGGCTCCTAACCGCTTAAAGGCATCATTTGAGACATATTTACAGCTCTGCAAGTACCTGGAACTTGCAAGTGATTTTGGTGACTTTGGTTGCATGAACAAAGGTTTTAAACCTAAATACTCATTTACAAGTAGATCCTAGACTTCTCACATGGATTATTCTCATTTTTGTTGTTAGCCTGTGGATGATTTTGAATATATTAATTGGTGTAAATACCTAATTTGATGTAATTTGACATTTTTCTAATGCCACATGCACAACTAGTTTCAACTTTCAAGAAGTCATCTTCAGACCTAGATCCTATGCACTATTGTCAGTCGAAACCTTCTGATGAAGTAATCATGACATTCTTTGACACTTGAGAGTCAAAACTAATATTGGCATTAGCAACATTTTGAATAAATTATCCAACCATATAAATGAAATATCACAGATTGACATCTTGTTTTAGACTTTGTGTTCCCTGTCAACACGAGAGCAGAAGACATGAAGGTGTGTGAGGCTCAAGAGATCAAGTTGTTCTGCAAAGATTACGTAGAGAAGGCTGAAATGATGTTCATATTTGCCACCATAGCTTGTCTCCTTGTTATCCTCAGTTTGGTAAGTTCCTTGGTTGTCTTGCGTTGAAGTTAGATACTAATGAGTTTAATGGTTAGAGTGTGAAAAGTTTGTCTTATAGTCACAGATTCAGATCTTGCCAAACCCCAATGACTTTAGCTTAGATAAAAGATAGTTTGGCAATTAGGCTTGTAGGGGCCAAACCTAGGTTAAGACAATGTCACAGGAATAACACAAGAGTAGACATTGGCCAATTGAATGGCACCATGCATTTGTTTACTTTTAAACTTTTGTCGGTCGCACTGTATCATTATGATATAAGCAATAACCTTTTCGGCCGCCATTTTTTTCGTGCGTGCACCGATTGCTATCCCCTCACTAATGGACTCCCCCTTCCCTATCCCGAACCAGCCAGTGCTGAACTTGACCTTCCCCAGGGGACATGTTTTTTTATTGTATCAATTTGAACGGTGCAACAATTCCGATGAAAATTTGTGTGTATCACTTTGATACAGTATGACTCATCTCTTTGTATCATTTTGATTCAGTGCAACCATGGATGTTATTTAAAACATGTCTAAGCAAAGAAATATTATGATTAAGACACTGTTAGTGATCGAGCAAAAATATTCCAAATACAACATAGTCATAGAATATTTTTAAACATTATAACAGTCAAATCAATCATTGCAAAAACATGAAAACAATGTGTAAATTTCATTGTATCAATTAGATACATCAATTAGATTACCCTTCTGGTAATTATTTAGGTGCTGGTGCTACCGACGTAGGGTTAATATTTGGCAAGAAACTATTCATACTAAGTAAAGATGGATCATAGACGAAGACGACACAGTTGTCAAAAGAGAAAAGGAGTATATGGTTTCAGTTTTAGTATATGGAGTATATGGTTTTTTTGTTTTAGTAGGTCATTGTGACTTTCATTAGGTTAAGGATGTTACATTTTAACTTTTCTTTGAATGGATATCTGAACAGCTATTTTCTGTTTAGGTCCACTACCTGATGTGTTTGGCAGCCAACTACGCACATATCCGGGACCATGAGAAGCTGCAAGAACTACAAGAGTTGCAGTACCTCGCAGACCCGGACATGGGCTCCAAGGACCGATTCTAGGATCGAGCACAAGAAATCTTCCGGGTGGACACTTTCAGGGTCTCCAGGCCTCCGCGATAACTGCCTTCAGCTTGGCAGCAGCCTTAACTCAGCGATATAATTAATGCTTTCTGTGCAAGGATTTTTAGATTGTATGGTGTTAGGATAACTGGGTCTGAAATTGTGTAGGAAATTATATGCTAATCTTGAAGCACATAAATAAATCAATAAGTTGTTCGGCAATCTTATTGAAATTATGAAATTATTTCTGTCAGTTTATCATTTCTCTTTTTGGGGATTTAGTGCAATTTTATTGGATGAATTGAGAAAATTATTTAGGACCAACATATTCTGTAATTTAATTGTTTAGTTCAAATTATACTGTGGAGCTTAGTCTCCACAACCATTCAAATTACAATACACAATACACAATACAATACACATTACAATACACTGCCTGAGATTATGCGTCCTAACACCTAGAAACAACAAAAATAGCAGAGCTGACAGTAGGGTTACTATTAGTCTATATTTGAATATTTTTTATGTTCAGATTTCTGATAGCTCCAAACTTGGTTCCATTGCACAGTATGATTTAACCTGTATACAATTTTAATGCTGCTGCCAATCTCTTGAAATAGGTTTTTTCTAGCTTCTAGCCAAATATTTTTTATATTTTCTATTCTTCTTAGTATTAATTGTTATCACTTGGCTCTTGTATATTTGTGTAAACTACTTCTAGTGTATTTTCTTTGAACCACCGAAGGAATTTGTATTTTGTCTTCCACCGAAGGAATTTGTTTGACCTTTTTATGTCTAGTTTAATTATTTTGTGGTTTAAAAGTGCATTACATCAACAACGAAGTGTAAAGTGTTCAACCCGGAGATTTCTTGTGTATATTGTTTACTAATAGTTTTGTAAGGACAGAAACAATATGACGAGTGTTAGATATTTGTGCTTATATTGTCTTTCACGATGACATTCCAAGTCTATAATATTGAACTTTACGTAATAGACATATAGACTTTTTCTTACTATTCACCGAAGAGTTAGTTATAGTAGCATTGTCTGTGCCTTTTTGAATTGCCTTTATGGTTATTATTGTATTGAAAACAGTATTGTAGGCTACGTCACTTAGCTTTCTCACCTAAAGATTGTTAAGGCATTACCAATCTGTTAGTTAATGTACAAAATTGTCCGTCCTAGTAGTTAAGATGAGTTTTCTATAGTCTGTTAAGAGTCAAAGTTTTCTATTTTTATAAGTAGGTATACAATTTAAAACTTCTCTATAAATGTTTAAGTCAGGGTAAAATAGTGGTTCAGTTAAAGAAAGGTTACAAGCTATTGATTCGCTGAACTTATCACCACAGTACAGTAACTGATGTATGGTCCATATCATTTGAAACTGGAATTGTCTCTCTTGATATCTGTAGATTCTTTTAACAATGTTGGACCAAACACATAAAAAATAATTAAGTTGTTATTGAGGATATTAGCACAAACTTTTAAATTCGTAAGCTCAACATTTGCCAATGGTCTTCTATGTGCAATTGACATGACAATATCATTTCAACACTATGTAAGAAATGTGTTTATTGAATTTATAAGGTTTAGCTGAATTATTCTATGGAGATGCATAGCATAAACACACACATGATATGCCGTATGTGCTGTTTCAATGTTTTCTGAGACAGACGATGCCACATAAGAGATTAAGTCATTGGTTGGTTTCGGACAAGACTGTTTATTATGTTACTTCAGTGTGTAATCCACCTTAGCCAACTAAGAGCATAAACATAATTCCATTATTTTGTAAATATCATATATTTCATTCATTTTTCATTCCATTTCTTAGTTACATTGAACACTTAATCTTTGTTCAGGTTTTTTCAAGTGTTGAATTACCAAACGTAGTAGTGGTGTGTCAGACCAAATCTCAAACGCAGAGGATACGCGTCCGGTAACCGGACGTGGATTAGGTGTCCGGCAGTTACTGTCATAACCTAACCTAACCAACCAAACTTGCTGATAATTAAAAAATCAAATGAAGGTTCAATTCTCTTCATAACATAAAATTATAAATGCCAAAAATTCTAACAAAAGATGTACAGTTAAGAAGAAATTACATTTAAAGCAAAATCTGTGACAAAAAGTTAAAGAAACCGATGGGTTTCGAACCAGGGACCTCTAGGATATCAGCCGAGCACTCTATCCACTACACCACGAACAACGCTGACCGAACATCGTATCGTTGTGGTAATGGCGTTCCGGGACCCCACAACCCGGTGACGTCACTACCGGACGCCTAATCCACGTCTGGTTACCGGACGCGTATCCTCTGTGAATCTCAAAATTAGGGATGTGTCGAATCCGAATCTCGAATCCACCGAATCCTACGAAAAGATTTGGATTCAAGATTCAATTAACAAGATTCAAGAATTTTTTTTTAGAATAGAATCTTTGACTATTAATACAACTTAAGTATTCAATAGTCAATGATAGAATTAAAAGGCATATATATACTGTGACATTGCATAACCATAAAGGTTATTGATGTTGTAATATACAGTACTGTGACATTGCCATTTTATGAACATAGTATACGATTCGTTGATCAACGAATTTAAAATTAACAAGTGTACCTACAACAACCATGAATAACCAATAATGAATATTTGCCCTCCAAATAAAGTATACCGACGGAATGTTCGATTTAGGTTAAACGGTTAAAGGTGTAACCAATTAGTGGTCTGTTATTTTGCCATGTGTCAAAAGTAATTAAGTAACTTTTCATTGCAAAGAGTAGTCATTTATGGTTAGTGAAGTATTAATTTTAAATGGTGCCTATTCCATTATTGTTTTTTATATCACCATACGCCCATTTGTAATTATTTTTGGTACTCGAGATTCAATTTTTAGGATTCGGATTCGATATTCCTGGATTTGACCATCACTACTTAAAGCCATCAAAACTTTGAAAAAGTTTCGGTTTCAAAATTGAAAATGTTGGCACTTTTATTTTTGAAACTGCTGACATTTGTTTTCTCGTACATTATTATTGTTTGTGACACTGTTTACACAAAAGCTGGTAGCTATGGAGCAAACAGATCACCATTAACACTAATGAAACAAGTAAATTAATTGTACACTGAATTACAAAAGTCATTTTAAATATAGGAAGTAGGAACAACTTACAATTTAATTAAATATTTATTCAATTTGATTTCTATACAATTTAATTTAATTAATATTGATATTTATTTAAGACAAAGAAATATTGACCACTAAATGTTCTAATTAATCCAATATTCACGTTTTTATTAGTGTCAGGAGTTTCATTTATTTTAATGTTAGTTGTTTATAAAATATTATGTTGTTTTGGGTTATCAGTCACATTATTATGTTATTATGCCTGGATAAGGAGTCAATCTCTTTCAGCCTTGATTGCATAATCATAATGAAAATGTTATCATTACCTGTATTTTTAGCAACCTTGACAAGGTAACTAAAAAGTTTCGAGTTAGGTTTTGAGATTCGAGATTTGATTTTTTTAAGTTTCGGTTTTGGTTTTGAGATTTGAAATTTCTGGTTTTGACCATCACTAAAACGCAGGATTACGGAAAGCCTGAAAAGCAGAGTTTTATTGTATGATATACTTACTTTAGTATCTCTTGTTAATTTTCCATTCTTCATTGTTTTCAGAGATCTCTCATAATGTGTTTTATTATTTCTAATTTTGTACTGTTTAGTAGGTAATTATAGATTTTATTATCCATTGTGTAGTTAGTTAAGTGATATGTCAACATATGCTACAGGATAGCTTCCAGCAGTAGCAATGATTGGTGATGCTTGTTAGAAAGTTTATTTTTACTAAGGGAATGGCAATTAATTTATTTTAGTTTGCAGATGCATTTGCTGACGGGTAATCCTGCATTTTTATTCATGAACTAGCACACCTCTTCTAAACAGCACAAGTCAAAATTAAGCATAAACACTGGATACTAAGCTATACCCGGTAATCATGATTTCTATTCAAATAGGGAATAATTCAATTACTGATAAACAGTATGAATTGCACAACACATGATTTCTTCTCAAATCTTTTAAAACCAGTTTTTGTTTGAATTTCATGTGTTTGTTTAGATTATTTATTTTCAAAATGGTACAAGCTCAAACCTTTTATATTGAAAATTGTTTACATGTGGAAGAATTGTAATAGTTTTTCTTCATACTCAGTTAAAACCATCAGCACTTTAAGCTTTATATTTGTTACTCTATGAATAAGCTCAAACTATCATAATTTTATTTTATGTTTACCTACTTAATTACAGTACACTACTGTTACTGGAATTTAATTTTAAGAAATTTCATACATTTTGTAACCAATCTACCTTTCTTTAATTTTGTATCCCACTTATATAAAGTTTTGTATTTTGAAATACACTGTTTACTATTCTTACTTCTTTTATAATTCCTAATTTTCACCAATGATACAACAAAATGTGAAATGTTGATAAAAAATACTTATAATAGTGAAAACCCTCACTGACTCACTAACTTATTCATCACTAATCCTCCAATTTTAAGACTAGCTACAGAGCAGAAATTTGGTTTCCAATTTATTTCATACTAGCTGTACCAGTGGGCTTTGCCCCGTTTAACTTCATAAGTATTCGCATGGCTCATTCATGTCCTGGTTGAAGTTCGTTCGCTACGCCCACTCACCTTTTGGTTGGAGCTCGTTCGCTGCGCTCACTTGCCTTCAGGTTAGCTCGTTCGCTACGCTAACTCGCCTCCAGGTTGAAGTTCGTTCACTACGCTCACTCACCTTTTGGTTGGAAATTAGCTGTTGTCATAAATTTAAAAAAATAATAGTGCTGCACCCTGTTGGTAATCCTTGTAACTTTGATGCTATTGAACATCATAGAACAGAACCAACTTGTTTAATTGAAACAGCTGTTAAGATTCATTAATTCCTTTTAAATGTGAAAAACCATAAGGTTAACACGGGGAACTACAGAGCCACTGGGGCGGAGCCCGAAAGGATTTTTGAGATAAGAATATGGTTTAATGTTAATCGGGAATGTGAGCTATCATCATGCCAAATTTCAGCCCAATCCGTCCAGGAGTTTTTGGATTGAGCAACACACACACAAACTCACAAACTTTCAGATTTATAATATTAGTAAGATAAAAAATAGGAGTAAAATAGTTTTCATACCAAACTGTATACATTTTTTCTTGAAATTTACTATCCAGAATTTTCAGTCCTTCAGGGATAGCAATAAAAAACACTATTTTTCATAAAATGTGTATTCTGTTCAAATATGTCATAAAAATGACATAAATAATAAGTAAGCAGTTAAAAGTCTGAGGGTTAGCCTATGAGTTCTTCTAATATCTCTGGGAATTCCCTTAAAACGACTTTTTCCTCTGCAAATTGGTTGAAAGTAAAATGAACAATTCATTTTTGTATAATATTTATTTAAGTTTAACAGAATTTCACTTCTTTCAATTCATCTTGTGTTTTCACTCAAAACTAATGGAACAAAAGTTACAAAAATCTGATTGGTCTGTGTTGGAGGGAAACAAAGTCAAAAGAAATTGACAAATAAAAGTCCAGTAATATTGATTATTTTAAGTAGAACTTTGGATTTTGTGCAAGTGTGGTACTTAGGCAAAAATCAACCCATCGCTATAATTTCCTCAAGCACATAATCATTTATATAAGTCGACTTCAACCAAAATGAAGGTTCAAGCTTATGTTAATTTTATTTTTAACTGTTGTAAGCTAAGTGATTACTTGCATCAATTAAATCTAAAGCATTGGGTACAGTATCTGCAAAAGTATTATGTCATTTTGAATTAATTCAATACATTTATGAAATCACTGCAAATGTTTTATGACAACTGTAAATCCCCCCCATGGCTCAAATTTATTGCAGAGCTTTTTTTCAATTTTTGAAATATATATATATATTTTTTATATGGCTATTGAGCTGCTTAGTCTGGTACTCATTTCAATAAGGCTAAATAACTCAGAGTTTGATTAATACTTTTGAGCAACTTTAATTTACCAATCAAATTAAGATAACAAATACAACTTTAAGTACAGAAAAAAAACACATTAAACGCTTAAAAACTAGTTTAAATTAATTTGATCTCTTCAATAGTATATATTTCTACACTTTTTAGTTATATATACATTACTAAACGTTTGCATTCAATATTTACAAGTACCTATAAAAAAATCTGAGTTTTAAGGATTACCTATTATTACTTTCAATATTCAAACAAATTACCACTTATCTCTTAAGTGACCAGCCTCCTTACTTGGTAAAGAACTAACATGTTCAACAGAGATGGTATTTTCGCTATCTGATGGTACGAGGTCTCTGACGCTTGTCAGCTGGCAGGAAGTGCCACAGAATGTCAGGGACTTGGGCCAGTTTGTGCCGAACGGTGTCAGGCAAACTGTGAGTGTCTGATGTGCGGTAACGTGCCGTCCGAGAACCGTCTCGGTACTCAATAGTGCCGGCCGGTTCATTGTAGGCAAGCTCAGTGCCGTCACGGTACATGATCTTCAGCTCACCACCCGGTTTCTAAAAAATAAAGGATTAGTTTCAGCAGAAATTCAAATTAGTTTGAGTTTTGTATAGGTTTGGTCATAATTTAGCAAAAAAAGTTGAAAATCTTTGAGACAAAGTTCAGTACTAGCTGAATGGTAATATATTCTTAACATTAACTTTTGGACATTTTTACTAAGAGAAAATGTATGTACGGTAAGGTAAAACTATGATGGTACCAAGTTACTTTAAAAAATTATAGTAGTCCTAGTCTAATGTAATGGTATATTACGTTACTATACTAGTCCTGAAAATAAGTGTTTACCGGACGAGTCGGGTACACACATTTTGGACGAGTTACGTACGATAGTTTACGCCACACTACTAAATCTGTACAAATCCTTATATATTTCCACCAACTAAAGGACTAAAAATCACTAGTCATAACCTTATGTTTTTGTTTATAACCATTCATTGCCACCTAAATACAGTATAATCAGCTGATTAGTGTCCAGTAAAACTCATTGCAGTACAGTAGTACGCAATGAAACACTAATTGAATAAGCTGGCGGCAAACAGCTGTTTTCTGGACTAAAATCCTTGCGTGGGAAGTTCGTCGAAATAATGTAGTGTGGCGTAAAATATATTACTGTAATAAACAAAAAAAAATTTTAAATGTTTGGTAAGATTTGGCAAAAATTCTCTTTTTGCCATACTACTTTGTTTCAATGGACTTTCCACGCAAGAATCTAGTCTGGAAAACAGCTGTTTGCCACTTGTTTAATCAAATGGGTTTAATTACTTACTACTACTACTGTATGGTAATGAAATATTACTGGACACCAGCTGATTATAATTAGCAATGAGTGAACGCAAACGCAGAATGCAAGTAACATGTTTTTTCCGTTACAACTATGTGTCACCTGAATCTAAATACTGAAAGGCACCAAAACATAGAGATAGAACATTTTCTTAGCTTCAAATGGGTACACTCTCATCACTCTTTGTCAATCATCAAAATATTTATTCTTGATTAAAAAACCGCTACGGTTTGGGCAAAATGGCCAACTGACAAAACAACAGATTTCAAAGTAGTATATTAAGTTACCAGTCCTGAAAATAGTTTACCGGACGAGTGTGGTCGATCCCGTGCGAGACGAAGTCGAGTACGGGATTACCATACGAGTCCGGTAAACAGATTTTAGACGTGTGACGTACGATATTTTACGCCATACTACTAAATCTGTACAAATCCTCATATATTACCACCAACTAAAGGACTAACAATTACTAGTTATAACCTCTCAGAGATAGTCATAACCTCTCAGAGAGGTTATGTTTTTGTTTAGTAACACTCATTGCCAAATGCAGTATAATCAGCTGTTTGGTGTCCGGTAAAACTCATTACAGTACAGTAGTACGTAATGAAACCCCATTTGATTAAGCTGGCGGCAAACAGCTGTTTTCTGGACTGTTTCCTTGCGTGGGAAGCTGGTCAAAACAGTGTAGTGTAGCAAAACAGTGTAGTGTGGCGTAAAAATATTTTTCAGACTTCCTAACGTCATATGACAAAGTTCTCTATACAAAAATAAAGAACAACTCAAGCTCTTTCCAATGATACCAACCACTTTCTGTTTAGGCCAAAATTAAGACTTGTAGATTTTTTTCAAGATAACACGGCTTGAAAATGTTACGCGCGCTAAATATTGTTAAAATTATAATAGCAGTTATATTGATCTGTTAGTGCTACGAGGTTCATTTATATATGAAAATAAGAGTTCAGAATCTCCTCTTTCCAACGATATCAAAATTATTACCATTGTGGATCATTTTTATTGCGTAATAAGTGTTTAAAAAAATATATATCTGAACTGCCGGCAAACGGCGGTTGGTCACCGAGCGCACACATGAAAAGGGTTAAAAAATATCATTTTTACAATAATATTACCTGGGAAGAAAAAGAGCATTAATAGCCCTGCCTGCAACTCATTTATTTAACAAAGCCGATTTTGCTGTAAAAAGATGAAAGCCTTATTATTATTGTTGTTGCAGTTGTTGAATATTATCATTACCTTGGTCGCTACAGCTCGCAAGTGCGGAAGGTCCAAAGTTCGATCCTTCGCTCCTGGCTTGTGACGAGAGTTGGTAGAAGTGTCTGACATTCCACTCACAGCAACCTGTTAACAGAATCCTGCAGTGATTTTGTACGGTTGTAAACAAAGTACAAGTCTTTAACTAATTAAACGTGATTCATGCTAAATAGAGAATATACCCATAAATATGTTATATTGATTCACCCATACAAGATAATATCTCTTCCACCAATGAATAACTAAATCCCGAAAACCCCCCACAGAAACCTCTGATAATAATTTTACCCGAACACAGCAGGTTTTTGTAAATATAGAATAACTTTTATAGTATGGTATAATTAAGTTGGTAATCGTGATCTTCCTCCTCCACAACGAAAACAACCTACAAGAACAAAGGCTCTACTACTGAAGAAATGAGCTAGTAGCTCCGAAAATACTATATGTTATGTTATGTGTTTATTTGTGCATTTTCATCACTAGTGTAACCCTGCTGTAGAATGCTATCCACCAAAAATCCTTAAAAACCCTGGCCTAAAGCCATCCTTACAAAAAAAGACTTCATAAACTAGCATGTATGAAAGGATATTTTGGTTTAGTAACACAATTCATATTTGTATTATTATTATTAGTTATATTTTTAAGGAAATCCTTTCGATGAATTTTCAAAATTGTGATTCATTTTGCACAGTTATCCAAACCCCATGAGAATAAAAGTTGTTTTGTTTTCACAATGTAGGCCTACATGAGAAGATCAAATGTTAAGTCACTGAGAAGATAACACATATTGTGATTTAGATTATTTAGATTAGATAACTCGACCATGATGCTACCTACTGTCAGTTTGATCTACGTGATCTAAAATACATCTGTTATTAAAAACAACCTATCAACATATGCGTAGCATTTCAACTACAGGCAAAACTATAAGTTAAACTGATAAATCTACAGTGCACTACACATCCTTTTGTAGCCTACCTGATGATTGACAGATTTGATGTCCAATGCACGAGAATGACTCCGCACGTTAGCATGGGAAGCCTTTGACGTTACAGAGGCCTCTGATACCTCGTAAGAACCCAGCTGTCAACAAAAACATGTAAAGAGTCTTGAGGGAAGTATCATCCTTACAAACCTCAACTCAGTAAACTAAAAAATGAATACAAAATAATAGAAAACAGTCAAATTCAAAAATTCATCACATCTGTATGAAGGCTTATCAAAAATACTATCCATTTTTAAATAACTGCTTGTATTAATTTTTTTAGAATCTAGGAGTAAAATTTATAATTTTGAGGGATATGACTGTTATTCTCAAATCTAAAATTTAATGCAAAATTTGTTCCTGATAAGGCTTTGTTTCAACCCTTCCCGAGCGTTGGCCGTATATAAGCCACTCGCCTTTGGCTCGCTGGGGGCTCCGCCCCCAGGCCCCCTAGCTGTTAGTCGTCATTAGTAGATTAGAGTTAAGTTGTAACAAAGCAAGAAGTGAAACCGTCAATATTAAGTTATATAAGTTAACTTTGAGTAAGATAACTTCTAGCTTAAGGAACACCTCATAAAAAAATCATTTTTTAAGTTGCGGTAAGTGAGTATGTTAGTCAAGTATTTTTACAATTGAGTTTTTGGTCAAAGGAAGTAATAATATGAGGAGAGAAGGGTTCGTTATAGTAAAAATCGACATTAAAGTAATAACGATTTCATGAATTTATTAGAGGAGATTGATAAGTTAATAAGTTGATAATAGTAAAGTATTATATGAAGTAAATAGATTATAGTAGATATTCAAGTATATAATTACGAAAATAGATTAAGTAAGGTTTGTTTCCCTGTCGGTTAGCCATAAACTTTATGGCATATCCAGTTCCGCCACGAGGAGGCCAGGAAACGTCGGAACCATATTTGCAATTATTTGCTCCCTGGTGGAACGACCCAGCAGCAACGCAAGAGAATTCCATGCTTACAGAAAATTGCAGCAAACCTTTGAAACAAAATTTACAAGCGTTAGATGTATACAGTAGAACCTCTTTAATCCGAACGTCCACTAATCCGAACGCATCATTGCTGTACTCTACCCACAGTACAGTAGTTCTTTATTGTATACTGTATTTATTGATATACACACCGTAATTGTTTCTATTGTAATGTACAGTACTGTTTATTCACTATGTTTACTAGGCCTACTGTATTAAACTAGGTGGCGTTCGCAGAGGCATCCACAAAATTGAGCGGAGTCATCAAGGGTTCATATTATATTGTTTTTGTCATACTGCAGTAAAAACAGTCGTTTTTAATGCATGCGTTGCGGGTCTAAAAGTAGTATTTTTACTCTTTAGGGAGTAAAAATAGTTTTTAGCCTTTATGGAGTAAAAATCAGCTGTTGTCAACTACGTTGTAAATTTCTATTGTAAACGATTGCATGTATCTAAATATGAATCGATTTGTGCTTCGTAATCATTTTAACCTACAGTCTACACTATAGTGTCTTCCCATAGCATTTTAGCATTGCAGGTACATTAATCCATTCCCAAACTCAACACTGCTCACCTCTACTACTTCCTTCACCACGTCGTGGACCTGTTTCCCTCCCTTCCCATAGCATTTTAGGATTGCAGATACATTAATGTAATTGCCAAAGACAGTTCCCACACTCTGCACTGCAAGCCTTACTACTTCCTTCACCACTTCCTACGTCGTGGGGCCTGTTTCCTTCCCTTCTCATAGCATTTTAGGATTAAAGATACATGAATCTAACTGCCACAGACGGTTCTCACACTATGCTCATACTTTACTACTTCCTAAGCCACTTCCTAAATCGTGGACCTGTTTTCATCACTTTACATAGCATTTTAGTATTTTAGATACGTTAATCTAACTGCCACAAACATTGAACACACTCCGCACTGCTAGCCTTTACTACTTCTTTCACCATCTTCTATGTCGTGGGCATGCTTCCATCCCTTCTCATAGCATTTCAGCATTGCAGATACATTAATCTAACTGCTACAAATGGTTTCCAGTTCCCACACTCCACACTGCTCACCTTACTACTTCCTTCACCTCTTCTTACGTCGCGGACCTGTTTCCCTCTCTTCCCATAGAATTTTAAGATTGTAGATACCTTAATCTAATCGTCATAAACAGATCCCACACTCCGAACAACTCGCTTTTACTACTTTCTTCACCACTTCCCACGTCACCGACCTGTTTCCCTCCCTTTATATAGCATTTTAGGATTGCAGATACCTTAATATAATCGTCATAAACAGTTCCCACACTCCGGACAGCTCGCCTTTACTACTTCCTTCACCACTTCCCACGTCACGGACCTATTTCCCTCCCTTTCCATAGCATATTAGGATTGCAGTTACCTTAATCTAATCGTCATAAACAGTTCCCACACTCCGAAAACTCGCCTTTACTACTTCCTTCTTCACTTCCTACGTCACGGACCAGTTTACCTCCCTTCCCTTAGCATTATTGGATTGAAAATACATTAATCTATTGGTCATAAACAGATCCCACACTCCGGACAACTAGCCTTTACTACTTCCTTCACCACTTCCTACGTCGCGGACCTGTTTCCTTCCCTTCCCATAGCATTTTAGGTTTGTAGATACTTTAATCTAATCGTCATAAACAGTTCCCACACTCTGGACTACTCGCATTTACTACTTCCTTCACCACTTCCTACGTCACGCACCTGTTTCCCTCCCTTTCCATAGCATTTTAGGATTGCAAATATCTTAATCTATTGGCCATAAACAGATACCATACCCCGGACAGCTTGCCTTGACTACTTCCTTCACCAATTCCTACGTCGCGGACCCGTTTTCTTCCCTTCCTATAGAATTTCAGGAATACAGATACCTTAATCTAATCGTCATAAACAGTTCCCACACTCCGGACTGCTCGCCTTGTCTACTTCCTTCACCAATTCCTACGTCGCGGACCCATTTTCTTACCTTCCTATAGAATTTTAGGAATGCAGATACCTTAATCTAATCGTCATAAACAGTTCCCACACTCCGGAGAGCTCGCCATTACTACTTCCTTCACCACTTCCTACGTCGCGGACCTGTTTCCTTCCCTTCCCATAGCATTTTAGGTTTGTAGATACTTTAATCTAATCGTCATAAACCGTTCCCACACACTGGACTACTAGCATTTACTACTTCCTTCACCACTTCCTACGTCACGCACCTGTTTCCCTCCCTTTCTATAGCATTTTAGGATTGCAAATATCTTAATCTATTGGCCATAAACAGATACCATACCCCGGACAGCTCGCCTTGACTACTTCCTTCACCAATTCCTACGTCGTGGACCCGTTTTCTTCCCTTCCTATAGAATTTCAGGAATGCAGATACTTTAATCTAATCGTCATAAACAGTTCCCACACTCCGGACTGCTTGCCTTGTCTACTTCCTTCACCAATTCCTACGTCGCGGACCTGTTTTTTCTTCCCTTCCTATAGAATTTTAGGAATGCAGATACCTTAATCTAATCGTCATAAACAGTTCCCACACTCCGGACTGCTCACCTTTACTACTTCCTTCACTAGGCCTACTTACTACGTCACGGACCTCAAGCTAGTGTCGTCATTTGATTATAATTTATGATCCATACCGTTTCTGTTCTAATATCTGTGGATTAATGCTATCAGCTATTTCTTTATCTACTGCATTCAAAAGTCAACAGCTGACCATATGTTTTTGTTTATGTGTCAAATACTACTTCCATAAGGATTACATTGAAACTTTGAGACCCAGTGGGGCGGATTCCTGAGAGACTTTTTTAACGCCATATAGATGTTGGCACTCACCGATATGGTCTTTATCACCATGCAAAATTTGAAAACGATTGATTCAGCCGTCTAGGAGGAGTTTGCGTATTACGAAATGCATAAGAGTCGATGTATAAGAGCTTCGCTCGCTCCGCTCAATAAAAACTGTATTTTACTTGATAATGAATTTTTTTACCTTTTCCGTGACAATTACGAGCCATTTTAGCAGGTTTTAGCTATTGTTATGTAAAAACAATAATATGTTCTGTAATCCAAACTATTCAATAATCTTAACTGACCCCGGTCCAAATTATTTCGTTTTAAAGAGGTTTTACTGTCTACGGATCAATGCATTCCTTGGAGAGCGTTGGACGTATGTACGTCACAACAGTTATGGTAATAAAACTTGTAAAAAGGTTATTTTTATACAAAAGGTGTCTATAATCAACTTTAACCATCAGACAGAAGTAGAAAAAAGTCAAAATTTCAATTTAAAAATATTTTTTTTTAGCCCCAACCAAATTATTGATTGCGTAGTGAGTAGGGCTTTGCCCAGCAGATTGAAGTCGATCCCGTCACTCAAACCTCGTCACTCAACTGAATCGTCAATCTTTTGAAGATTCAGATTTTTGTTAGTTTGGAAAAGGTTTGGTTTGAGGTATCTGAAAAAGAAAAGAGCAGGCCTAACTGTGTTCAAAATTACATTTGAGTATAAACAAAATAGAAACCTACCAAAGGCAATCTCTGATTAGGTGTGGGAACAGAGGCGTTCTCTTTGCCTTTGAACACACCATGGATTGCAGGTTTGCTGCCAATGGTTACGGGGAAGCAGGGAGAATTATGGGTAGATATCTGCTCCAAAACCTTCTCAACTAATAGACAATGCTCCAGCATCTAAAACACAAAAAAGATTCAATAAGATTATATTATTCGTTAAACCAATTTAAAAAAGAGAAAACAATACATGTTCTTGTAAACCAATTTCTAAAAGTGTCAATGAACTCTATTCAGTAAATCACTTTCTAGTGATAGATAGATAAACAAACGGATATTACAAATCACCCAATCTGGGCAAAGGTCTGAGGTAAGTTGAAAATAGTAAAATCTTTTTTTAAATACATTCTGCATATTAACAAGCTGTAATTCAAAGCGCTAAAAATTAAGCTTTTATTTTTGTTAATTTTTTTTTTTGAGAACTAAGTACATTGCACAGGTTTTCAAACTTAGTCTTGCCCTGGCCGTATGGAGAAGTTGAGAAGTTTGGCAGTGCTGGATTATTGCAAAATCTGAATTACTGAGTGCTGCCTGCAAATAAAATGAAAGGAGAGCAAAATTAACCTTAAAATTAAGAGTCAACAATGTTATTATAGATAAGTATGTATCAGGCAGTTTTCACGAGTACAACTGACATCAGCCAGATTGTCTTAAAACTTTAACCAACATGTCTCAACTCTAAACAGGCCCAAATCTTGCCGGGCATACCCAAGGAGTCAATACCCGGATTAAAGAGGCTTAACTGTACGGGAAAATCAGGAATGTCATGGTTGCCGTCCCTTTACCTGTTGGAAGTGATCCCACATCTTCTGAAGTTGAGGAGAAAGGTACCCCAAATCATTCTCATCCAGGTCTTTCGTTTTCCCATCAGGATCAAGCAGCTTTATGACACCCTTGTTGATATCAGCTTTCAATAGTTTGTACCCTGTAAGTAAATAGTACAACCATTATTGATAAAAATTGGTGAGTTAATAATAATCAGAAGTTAGCGTTCAAAAAATCTGTGACCAACTTTCTTTTATAACACAACGATTTAAATGTGAATTTTAATTTACAGCTGATCCTTCTGTTGAATGTTTGACCACTATCAGGTTGTAAAAGAGACATAACAGTTTGATAAAGGATTTTAAATCGGCTACTTTTTTACAATTGTGACCTGATCAAGGTAAGTGAATCACTCTTAGTGCTGCAGAACTAAAATATAATTTATTTCAAAGTAACAATTTTATTCGCCTAATACCTTCCCTAAACAAGAGGATAGGCTAAATATCTTATTGCTTTATTTATTTGTTTTGCTTTGAAAACAAGTTTAAAACCATGTTGAGATAAAAAATTGTGCAAGGGTCCAAATCATAAATCATATTACAACAACTTTTGTAATAGGTATTTAAAAAACTATCAAAACTATTCTAAAATATCAGTAGGCCTATTTAAAACTTACACTTTACATCCCTCCATTGTGAAAACTGTTTAAAAATGCAAAATTATTTTAGTTTGGCAAACCCATCAAAACAAGAAAAGTAACATCAGTGAAACCAAAGACAATAGCAAACAAAATATATTAACTGCCTAATAAAATCAAAGATCTATTAAACATTAAACCAACTGTATTCACTTATTAGGTTTTAATAAAATTACATGGACTAAACGGAATTACAATAGACTCCTCTTATCCGGACTCCTCGGGACCGAGGCCAGTCCGGATAACGGTTTTTACGGTTAAACCGACGCTGAGGTAAAAATTGTCCGGTTAAAGAGATGTAATTTCTGCCGAGTGTAGTCTGGTTAAACCGACGTCCGGTTAAAATGTGCTCAGATAAGAGGGAGTCTACTGTATTGTGTACTAGAGGTTGTCCAATGGTCGAAAACTCTACCAAAAATATGTATGTACAGCCTTCTCTATTTTCTTTCACCCCACTCTGTAAATTATTCCGTGATTGGAATTTCTTCAATTCTTTTTATTTTAGTGGATTTCCCATATAGGGAATAAGCTATTCTGTTTATATTTTGTCACCAGCATGGCAACCCATAAGGCCCATGTAAATGTTTTTTTCCATTCTTTATTCTTTTTTTTGTGCTTATTTTTGAGCATATTGTAACTTATTAAGGTATTCTGCACATCTACAGGAAAATATGTTTGGAACAGTATGTGTAGATTTTCCCTTCAATGCACAGGAGCTGAGAAAAAAGATTTTAAAGAAACATGCTTGCTTTTTAATACATATATTTTTAACAAATTATTGGCGAGTTCTGGTGTATCCGTTAAATATTCAGATATCCCTAATTCTATAATGTGCAACTAGCAATATTTATATGCTGAAGTACACTGCTTCTGCTTATTTCATTTCAGTTTTCAAGTGTTTTCCTATAAATATTAAATCATCGGAATAACAAGTCATAATCTCTGTGAAAATAGAAACAACCCTAACATGATTTAAGTAGCAAAAACCACAATCTTACCTGTGTAGAATTTAACATGAAAATCATTGTTGGGTGAGTTCTCCATGAGAAAGCAAGACGCGAGGGAGCTGTGGAGGGTAACTTTTGGAGTCTGAGCTTGGTGGAGCCTCACAAACCTAGCCGCAGTCTCGTAGGGACGATGGTACTGCGTAGGTAGAGAGTGATAACTGTAGACAGCATCTGCTCCGGTGGTGGGGACTGGCGGAGGCACATCGCCTACGATCACACCTCGGTCAGAGTCGGGGCAGTAGACGAGTACCTGCAATGTAACATGTTCACTCAATACAGCTCTATGTTGGCACTAATACCATTTACTATACACAGAGTAGACTTCCAATGTAAAAATTTGAAGCCAAATAACGTTGTGTTGAGATGGTCTAACTAATATACTAATATTCTGTGTCAAGTGGTATAGCAGTTAGCATGGATTTTAATTAATACTAAAGGTCGTCAAGTGGTCGAAAACTCGACCAAAAATTTTTTATGTACAGGATTCTCTATTTTTGCAGCTACGCTGTTAATAAAACAAACATGTGATTGGAATCTCTTCGATTAGTTTTGATTTTCTGTTTAAAATATTTTGTTGTTATTTCGTCACCAGCATGGCAACCCATAAGGCCCATGTTAACTTTTTTAAATTTTGGATTCAGTTTTCGTGCTTATTTATGAGCCTATTTTAATTTATAAAGGGATTCTGCACATCAACAGGAAAATATCTTTGGTGAGTCAGTGGCAACACGGTCTTCGGGCCCAAGGCAGCGATGTCGTGGGTTTGGATCCTGGTCACTACCGCAAAAATGTTATCAGTACAGTTCATCCTTGTACTTGACAGGCAAATGCAAGGTTAAAAGGCCGCTAACCTCTTTAAATAAAAAAATATATATATCTTTCTAACAGTATGCATGCTTAGGCTATATTTTCCCTGTGATGCACACAAGCTGAGAAAAAAGGTTTTCAAGAAACATGCTTGCCTATTAAATAGATTTAACCCAATACACTAGTGCCCTCTGGTGAGATGGTCCTGAACTTGAGATGAAATTGAATCTAGTTTCTTGGCTACAAATTTTTACATTGGATGGGAAGTCTACTCGATGTATAGTCAATGATAATACCTAAAGAGGAACGCAGAGAGGTATAAGAAGAGTTGACAGGCTGTATTTTATATTCATGGGGGTATGCAGCATTCAAAACTAAGAGAAAGTACAGGTCTTGACGCATCCAATTTGGTTTACAGTCATGCCATACGGGAATCCAAAGATTAGCTCATTCAGACTTTAATGTATCTCTAAAGATTAGCATAAACTTAAACTATAACGTATTGGAACAGCCTAAGCCTTTGTTGCTGGCCTATTGATTATTGGTTAGTCTGATTTGTCAACTAAAAAGCTAGCGGTACCTTAAATAAATATTTTGTATTAAATCAAATAAATACTTAATTTAATGTCAGGTTTGGAGATTTTGGAAAGGGGATCCAGGATCTAGTCCAGGTTTTCTAATTGAAGGGAGAAATATACTTATCTCAACTTTGCAGACAATATATGGGGAACAGTAAGTTGTTTTAGTTTTCTTTTAATTTTGTAAATTAAGTTTGCTAATTTGTAGTCAAACAAACACTCACCCTTAATCCATCACTTGATATCCTACAAACTTCAACAACTTTTTCTCTCTTCCCGTTCTTTCTTTTCTTCAACTTCTCCAAACACACTTCGCCAGTTTCCAAGATACTCACTACGAAATTACTGGTTTTATACCTTGCAGGCTTCAATCTCACTGAGCAGAGAGGGGGAACATTCAACGGAACATGATCTAAATTCCTCTTTTCATTTTTGTTGATTTTTATCCCCACAAACTCATTAACAGCATCCTCATCTTCTTCGTCTTGTGGAGGTAAACGTTCAGATGATCTGGAGCGGGGCGTTCTACTTTTCCCACCTGGTTCTGGCAAAGCAAGTCTCAAGTCAGGCAAAAACTTTCTCTCAGTATTCATTACGCTGTGCAATATTTCTCTATGTTCCCTAACACGATCATTCGCTGGTAAACATTCACGTTCATTTTCACACTGACATTTTGATCTTCTAGAACAATCGCATTCCTGATTTCTGCAGCCGTCGTCAACATGGTCTATCCTGCGACATTGTAGACACTGGGAGTACAAGCCCTCACTGGCCAGACCACATGTCCGACATTGAATATTCTTCATATCAAGATCAACTCCGTCTTGGCTACGAGCACGACTGTGACTGCTTCCGCAGCAACTGTCGTTCTTTCCGTATTTGTGAGAACTGCATTTCACACTTTCGCACCTATCCTCGTCACAATTACTTCTCCCACCCATTCTTTCACACGATTGCTTACTGCGTTGAGACTGTTGAGAGCAGCTTGACTCATGCCTCGAACATCCTGATCTGACCAGTTCCTGCATCGACCGATCCTTCCTGCTGTGAGTGCTTGTCTCCAGTCGGTCTTGGTCTCCGTGGAAGTACGCTTGTTGCTGACGAGATGGAAGGAAGTTCGGACTCATAGGAGACCTGCCTTGCAGAGGGAGGATGTTTTGTAACTTTTGTCTCAGTCCGCTCGTCACCTTAGAGGTGTCACGTCTGTCTAATGATCTGTAACAGAATTCAGAAGAGCCTTTATTTTACTGTCCTTTATTTTAAAAACGTTTTTTTTTATATTACAATTAGGGATGTGTGGAATTTTGAAACTAGAACATTGATATTGGTATGGAGAATCAATTGTCAAAAGTCAATACCGATACGTGGGGGGGATAGGGGGGGATTTGCCCCTAAAATTACTTATCTAACTAACTAACTAAACTTTGAGGTGGGTTCACCAGAATAAAAAGTGTAGTAGACTATTAGATCTGATTAATGAGTGAGTGATCTAAGAGTTTGATACTGTTAGAGATAAAGCGCAAGGCCCACCTAAAGTATACTGAAGTTGTCAGGACAGGTGAATTTTTCTGATTAGGCATTTTGCTGCTTTTTACTTATTGTGTGTTTGCTGAAAGTTTTTTTTTTTTCAAATTAATGCATGTCTATGTAGGGCCTATTGTATTTCTATATGAGGCAAAACATGATTAAAAAAGGAATAATTAATTTCCTTCTTCACAGCCAATATTTAGGCGAAAGACTGAATTTCTAACATATTGCCAATCTTATAACAAAAATACCCATGATACTTCCAAAACAATAATAAAAAAATGCATAACTACATTAATGAATAAACGGAGTGCAAACGGTTAGTGTAATCTCCAGGGTTCTAAGGTTCAACCAAACCCAGTAATTGCTACGATACCCTGCTCACCTTGACCGTATACTAGCGTGTTTGCTGTGATGAGGAGAGAACGTGTCTTGACGAGTACATCCAGTCGTCGCCAGAGTAGTCCCTAGACCACTCTCCACCGTGTGACCGCTCTATACAAACATACATTGTATTTAATTACATTATTGCCAGACACAAGTCCCCTAAATGCTCGTTTTAAGCCATTCATATCTCAAAATTTGTTAATAAAGTCAAAAGAATCGTGACATAAAATTAAAAATTTTGTTGGTAATAATCCTAACAATAAACATGAGCAAACTACCAATTTTTTGTATCTTGACAATTTTTCAATATAAAATCAATATAAACTGTTTGATTCACAGTTAACCAAAAAAACTTTATAGCTATTACATGGGGTACGACTGAACAAACTTTCATTGATTATTGAGTCACCAAAACAAAAGTAATAATTGTATGGCTGTTTGTAGATAGGTTGACCCACAGTTTGATGTGAGCTTCAAACCAGCAGGCAAACTATTGGCAGTGGAGAGCAAGCTGGTCTAGTAGCCATAGAGTGCTGGACTTTGGTCTCTCGGTCCCGGATACAAATCCCACCAATAACCAATGGATTTTATATAAGGTTTTAAGCTGCAATCCTCTAGGCCTAGCATAAAGTATTGTACAAAATCAAAATGGTTTCAAGAGCTTACATCCTATGATGTGAAGGTGGGACAAAAAATTGTGATTGGTAGAAACTAGAAACCAGGCTTTCACTACTGAAGTCTGACACTTTAAACCACTAGACCAACTAAACTTTGGGGTTTTCAGCTTCCCATTACATGTCCTATATTATTATTGACCAAACTAACTGTTAAAATAATTTACAAACCTCACCGTAAGACATTAATATTATCACCTCCACACTACAGACTCACCTGTTGTTTATAAAACGGCACAGATGGCGTATCATTCATAAATGGATGGCTTGGTATCTGATCCAGGTGTATCCTATCTTCTGGCTTCTCTTGCAGCAATCTCATGATCAAGTCCCGGGCTTCATTGGATAGATAGTCAGGAATCTAGATAGCAAATTTTTTTCATAAATCTTTGAACATTTAAAGAAAAAGAACCTTCCTGTAAAAAAATACCCCCGCCACAGCAAACCTGCAGACTTAGCGAATTTCCATTTGCCTGATTGGATTCATACTAAAATATCTCCTTAAAAATATCACATTTATTATTCCCTATTTAAACAGAATTAGTTTAATGAGTACTTAGGTTTGCTGCAACAGGGAGGGTAAACAAGTTTTTTTTTATGTAGAATATTGAAAGTACTGTGGTTTAGTAAGAAATTAATGTATTTTCCAACTTTTATCAAAATATGTTCATAAACAAGCAAACTACAACAGTTGACTTATTCTCCATAAGAATAACATGGGAATTTTAAAATTAAAATTTTTTTGAACTTTCTCTGTAACAATTAAGCGCATAATAATGCTTCAATATATTAAATTATTTGTTTTTTTAAGCTCTACAAAACGGTTTAAAAAGAAATTGTGAAATTTTGTGTTTTTAGGGTCAAAAATGGGAAAACCTATTTTTACCCCAAACCCCCGTTCCCATAGTCCGATCATGCTGGTTCGCGAACTCATTCAAGTTTATCCCGCCTTACACCTTCAAACCAAATTTTATCAAAATCGGACAAAAATTACTCAAGTTATCGTGCGGATGGACACATATATATATATATCGATATATAAAAATTTGAAAAAATTTAATTAAATTAAATTAAAGATATATAAAAATATATAGATTTTGTTTGTTTTGAAAACTACGTACTATAGAGATCATGAGATAGGATCATGAGAAATTCGTTTTATAGAGGTCGCATTCGTCTTGTAGAGGTTTTGTGCTAAGAATATTCGTTGTATAGAGGTTAATCAGCCCTAGCCCATGTCACAATCAAATTTGTCTTATGGAGGTTTTTAACCTAAATACTACGTTGTATAGAGGTGTTTTTAGCACTGACCTTTATGAAAGTTTAAGGGAATTTAAACAAATTTATGTTTCGTACTAACGAGGTTCGACTGTAGTCCTCTTTTAAGTGGTTTTGTTAGGTCTGGACATTGCAAGAATACATGTACAACATAAAGAATGGACACCTGTATGTCTTAACATACCTTAGCTATAATATTTTATGATAACTGAACAAAAACAAACTGAGTGGAGGATGTAATGTGTCAGACTTACATGATAATCAAGGTTGATCACTCTTTCCAGCGTAATCTGTATCGCTCGGGTGTCGAAGGGAGGTCGTCCGACCAGCAGCGTAAACAACACACAGCCGAGACCCCAGACATCAGTCTCTAGACCATGGGTCCTGCGCAGGGCGATCTGCAAACACACAACAGGCTCTTGATAATCTACCACACTAAATGAGTCAGCCAATATAGTTATGGTCCTTGGTTTGTGTTCTATATCAGGGGAGTGAGCTGGTCTAGTGGTTAGAGCGTTGGACTTCGATCCCTGATGTCCTGGGTTCAAACCCCGCCAATCACCAATGGATTTTATCTAATTGATAATGCAGCAACCCCTAGGTCTAGCCTGAAGTAATGTGAAAAACAATCCCGGGCCCGTGCCTAGCACCCTAGGACGAAAGAAAAATAGTGTTCTATACTCAATAAACATGGGTTCTTTATAAAAAATGTGTAAGCTGATTAATTGGAAGCCCACAAAAGGAGGTTTTTTAAAGGAGTTAGAAGTTTATTAAAATTATTGCATTAATCGAGACTAACTGTGATTTTACTCGGCTTATGAGAAAGTCAAACTGCCAGGTGATTAGTGCTGGCTTTCAAATTTTAAGGTTGCTTGTGTGAATTAAAGCGTGATTATAACCTGGACCCTGCCATTGTTGTTCTAATAGTCTACATTATTATCTTACCTCAGGTGAGATGTAGTTCGGTGTTCCACACATGGTCTTGTGGGTTTCTCCCGGGTAAGCTAACTTGGTAGCTAAACCAAAGTCTGCTATTTTCTAGATGAAACAAACATAAAAATTGAATAAAGAATAGCTTGTAATTACATTGTAATTTATTTAGTGATGAACTTTCAGCATAGTTAATCCAAATGGTGTTCATGAACAGTCAAGAGAGTAACACATATCTGGTCTAGCTAGACAGTAAGACTACCTAAGTAGCTAGGGCCTATGGAATATTATTTCTACGCACACGATGGTAGCCTTTTTCCGCAGTTGGGTATTGATGTGAACAATAGGCCTACAATTAAAATTCCCACCAGATGTGAAAATGTGTAGGGGAGAGCGGGACTATACCGTACACATAAGGGAGATTTGTAGTTAATCGCAAATTACGAAGTGAAAGTAATTTAAACACAAGTAAATAAATATAAAATTTAATTATTTGGCTATTGATTGTATATAAACATTTTGGAACTATTGCATTTTTTACATGTAAAAATTGGTAATTTAAAAAAAAGTTACCTTGTACGAAATAGCCCCAGGGGGTGGGGCTATTCTGTACAGTAGAGGGGGCTATACCGTACAGTTCAAAAATCATTTGTTTAGGTTAGTAATATAATAGTACTCTTGAATTATTCTCCCAAGTGGAGGTGTTTAGGGATAATCTAAGCAAAACTACGACAAAAAACTAATTTAAACTATAAAATAATCAAATGTATTTCTCATTAATGTTTTCATGACAAGGAACAATATTGGAGACAAAACAGACAGCTGATAGTAAATAAACATTCACATCATCTGTAGTATGACTATTACCACAGATAATATAACCCCTACTACAGATATCTGACTGAGGCCGCTAGGCCGCTGCGGCTGAGGGACGTGCGGGGAGGGAGGAAATAGTTAAATTTTTACTCGCAAGATGTCGTGAGCGTCCTCGGTGCGGTGGAGCGCTGTGCCGTCGCCGTAGCCGTAGCCGTAGCTTACGTTGTCGGATGTGTTGTCACGTCACTCTACAACTGCCGCGAAGGTGCTGGAGAATATCGGTACAAACATCTAGCTTGCTCTTGCTGATAACAAGACGATAACTGAATAGAGATATTGTGTTCACTAATCTCTCTACATGACACTTCATTATGTCCTAAGTTTCGAATATAGATATACAACTTGTTCAATCTCTATTCGAAATATAAAATAGTTGTTGTACGCGAACCTTTTGAGTTCATTATTTATTTTAAGTTTTCATGTTTTTATTTTGATATAACATAGGCCTACATAAGGTACTAATTTTTAAAGCTACTATCAGTTACCCGGCGTTACCCGGGTTATACTTTACAATTGCTCGAATTCGAGCAACAGGTGTACTATCTGTTTATAGGCTAATAATTTAATGGTTTTTACTTTTTATGTATACATATTTAATAGTGGAGAATTTAAACGTTGTTGAGTGCACAGGTGTGCTGCGATCGGGGTTTAATATATTAGGACTTATCCAAGATAAAAATAGTTTTCTGTGCTGCTTTCTGTGGGAACAGTGTGGCACTATTTTAAATCATGACCATTACAGAATATTGTGATTTTTCAAACCTACAAAACAGTTAGTGAAAGCAAACATCTGCTTTTAATTATATTTATTTGAAAACATTGTAGTTCCAAAAGTCTGACATTGGACACTTTAAAACCCTCTGGGGTGGAGCCCTTTTGACATATCTGCACCAAACTTCACACATACCATCCTTAAGTAGGGGCATAATGCTTAATAATGCCAGAAAGTATCATTACAAGCTGTCAAGCGATTTCAGAGTCCTTTGGGTACATACATGCATACATACTTTGCCAAGAAATTGTTAAATTTGTTTTAAAGGTTATTGAAGTAGAGTTTTAAAGATGAATAAAGTATGAACTGCTGCTTAGAAATGTTGCAAGAAACCCTTTTATTTTTGTTCAACACATAACATTTCTTTAATCTAGCAACAGAAGCTGTATTATAATGTTATATTCACATATTATCATATGTTAAATGTATCATATGTTAGTTGGAGGTAAACAATATTAGTGATGTTTATGTCTCAGTCTGGAGTGGAATTGAAAATAAACTTCTGAACTTTAAATGTTGAAGCTTCTAATTTTATTTATATTTTCTAAATAAAACATGGTGTCAGGTGTATTTTGAAACCTAGAAGAAATAATGGAAGTATCTGGATTGTTTAGGTTGCCTGAACCTGTGAGTTTTGAAGGAAATGTGAGTGAAAATTGGAAAAGATTTCGTCAGAAGTTTGAACTGTACTTAATAGCTACTAGTCATGGTAAGAAACTTAAGGATGAAATTAAGATTGCGCAGCTGCTTAATCTGTTAGGCGATGATGGCCTAGATGTATATAATACTTTTAAATTTGAAGATAATTACAAAGATAGTTTTGATTGCGTACTTGATAAGTTTGAATCTTACTGTTGTCCTCTGAAAAATGTCATTTTTGAGCGGTTTAAATTCTATAGATTGAAGCAGGAAGAAGGTCAAGACTTCAGTAAGTTTGTTATGCAGTTAAAAATAGCAGCTAAATCATGCGAGTTTCTTGAACCTGACAATATGATTAGAGATAGAATTGTCTTAGGTATAAGAGATAAAAGTACTCAAGAGCGTCTATTAAGAGATACAAAACTTGACTTGAAAAAAGCTATTGATTTCTGTATGATTGTAGAGAGTAGCAAGGATCAATGTAGGACTATTGTAGAGCACAATGAAACCAAGCTTTCGGGGACTAAGTCGGATCCATACAGTGTATGTGTTGTTAATAATTTACCAAATCAAGAACTTTCACGGAGTATTGCAAAAGAAAAACAGAATGATCCATGTAGCTTTTGCGGCTACAAACATGTTCGGGGTAAATGTCCTGCATATGGCAAAACATGCTCAAAATGTGATGGTAAAAATCATTTTGCAAAGGTTTGTAGGAGTAAAACTATAAAATCTCATGCTGTTACAAACGAGGAACAACACAATGAAGACTCTTGTGTGAGCGATGTTAGTTTAGGCTCGGTAAGCTTAAACATTAGTGGAGTGAAAGGTCAAAGTGAAAAATCATGGACGGAAAACTTGACTGTTGGTGGTACACAAGTTAAATTTAAACTAGATACAGGTGCAGAGATCAGTATTTTACCTGCTAGTTGTGTACGGAAAATGAACATTACTCACGTAAAACGTAGTTCTTATGTACTCTCAGCCTGGGGAGATGAAAAATTCAAAATCAAACCACTAGGTCTTGTAAAGTTACAATGTAAAACAATTACAGGTGTAACTGCAGATGTGAATTTTGCTGTAGTGAATGTCGAACATGAACTGCCAATTTTAGGACTAAACGATTGTGTCAATTTAGGACTCATTAAGAGAGTGTCATCGATATGTTTGAATTTTAAGGATAAGGACGATGTTTTAACCGGCTACAAGACAGCTTTTGAAGGATTGGGACAGTTTCCAAGCACTCATCATATTCAGCTTAAGGAGGGTGCTATCCCACAAATTCGACAATCACGGAGAGTACCTTACAGTTTACAGGAAAAACTAAAGGAAAAGTTGGACCAACTTGAGGAAACTGGGGTGATTCGAAAAGTTGACAAACCTACAGCATGGGTCAATCCTCTGGTGATCGTGGAAAAACCCGATAAGTCTTTGAGAATCTGCATAGATCCGATGCCATTGAACAAGGCGGTAATGAGAGAGCACTTTCTAATGCCACACCCTGATGATATTCTGGTAACATTGAGTGGTTACAAATATTTTACTGTTTTGGATCTTAAGGATGGGTTTTTTCAAATTGTTTTAGATGAGGAGAGTCGAGAACTGTGCACAGTCAGTACCCCATTTGGGAGATACCAATTTTGTAGATTTCCTTTTGGAATCTGTTCGGGTCCAGAATTGTGCCAGAAAAATAACTACAAATGCTTTGGAAACCTGAAGGGAGTTAACATAGTACATGATGATATTATTGTAGGAGGAACGACATCGGAAGAGCATGACGAAAATTTAAAGAGAGTTTTGGACACAGCCCTTAAACTTGGAATCAAGTTTAATCCAAACAAGATGCAATTTAAGAAGAGCGAAGTTAAGTATCTGGGACACATAGTATCAGCTGCAGGAATCCAACCCGACCCAGATTATGTAAAGGCCATAGTTGAAATGGACCCACCCACGGACAAGAAAGGGGTAATGCGGTTATTGGGCATGCTAAAGTATTTATCGAGGTTCATACCAAATTTAGCAAAAATCACTGCACCCCTCAGACATTTGACAAGAAAGGATGTGGACTTTTTATGGACCGTAGAGCATGAAGATGCTCTGAAGATTATCAAGACATTAATTTCCAGTGAACCAGTTTTGGTATACTTTGACTCTCGAAGACCTCTTGAAATACAAACAGACGCTTCTCAAGATGGCCTAGGATGTTGTTTGTTGCAGAGTGGGCAGCCAGTGGCTTTCATGTCCCGTTCATTGACTGATACAGAGAAGAGATATTCGCAAATCGAAAAGGAAACTCTAGCTATAGTTTTTGCTGTTGAGAAGTTTCATAGGTTTATTTATGGCTATAAAGTAACAATTCAGACTGACCACAAGCCGCTTGTAAATATTTTTCAACAAGATTTGCACGTGGTACCAGGTCGGCTACAGAAAATGAGACTAAGGTGTTTGAATTATGATCTGGAAGTAAAGTACTTACCTGGTAGTAGCCAACTTATTGCTGATACGTTGTCAAGAGCAGCATTGAAATGCACAGAAATGACAGTGTCTTCAGAATTTCAAGTACACAGTTTAACAAGTTCATTGCCTATGACTGAAGAGAAGAAGAAATTATTCCAGCGTTACACTGAAGAGGACCAAGAAACTGCTATTGTGAAGAGATACTGCAAAGAAGTATGGCCAGAAAGGAAGCAAGACACCCCAGAGATAGTACGCCACTATTGGAACCAAAGACATATGGTATCTGAAGAAGATGGTTTATTGTTTTTAAATCACAAACTGATTGTGCCACGACAGCTACGACAGGACATGCTTCAGCGAATCC